TTTATAACGTAGTGGCGGCCACGATCTTCTTTGCCAATCTATAAAAATCCATCAAGTTGATGTTACTCCTAACATTGAAAACGGGAAGGTAATCAAAGCTTGATTAAAGCTTGAACATTTTAGTTCAGGAGATTAACCATATATGTAACTTGCCATCATCTGGTATAAACTTGTTAAAGGAAATTAGTAAGTTAAACCTGCCAATACATCTGCTCTACTGATTATGATATTTCTAATCAGTTTTCTCTCTTTAATTTTTTGTTGGGAATGGTAATTGTTTTCGTTTATCTAATTGCACTCAAATGAGTTATTTTTGTAGTATACAGAAATGATTTGATAGAATTTACTGTTCTCTATAGCTACCATGTTTATTCAGGATTTTACACAGTGATTTTTAAGAGAGTAAATGAAATCGAATTATCTTTTGGTTAGTTGTGTAGGAATCCACTTGCCTTTTTAGTGTCATAATGAATTCTCAGCCTTGAGCTCTTTTTTTTTCTAACTCGCTAACCAAATTTAAAAATAAATTCTTTGAATTTCCAGACCATATGTACTTAACCCATATCATAGATCAAAGTTTTCAATTTAGTTTAAGAGTTTCTCTTAAATTCTAATGGAAAAGAGAAACATAAGCTTCAAATTGAGCGGACTATACTTATCTCTAAATAGGTGATTATATTTGAATATGAATCCATGTTTCTGTTAGTGTTATAATTTCGTTATTGCATATTTTCTGGGATTTAGGTAAATGTGTTTGTTAATCTTGTCCTAGCAACCATGTTACCTTGCACATCGTTTTGTTCATCAATGGACAACTAAATCTTGATTTTGTTGCAAACTGTGGCGAATGTTGTCCAACCAACCTATTAATAACTTGTTTTGATATAACCTTCGATTCTATGGCATTTAATAGGCTTAATTCCTCTAGTTTTTCTTTATATTTTCTTTATACGCTCAAGGTTCATAGGTTCAAAAACCAATTCATTCTAGAACTAACTGATCCCAGTCAACACTTTATTAGTATCTTTTGTGTGAGGCAGCACTAAGGAAATCATGCATGACTTGTATTAGTATGTATGTCAGTGTGATATCTATTAAGCTAGCTGGTTGGTCAATCGGTGATGAACTCTACTGTGGAATCATTTTGAGTTATGGTTGAGGAAATCATGCATGACCTCCGATAAAATGTGCATCACAGTTCCCTCGCTTCCCTTTTTTTGTGCAAATTTCTTCTTAGTTCTTTCGTATTTTGACCATAAATTTGATTTTTAAGTTTGAGTGATGCAATATATTGCATTGAGCCCCAAAGTTCTCAATGGGTGCTAAGCCAGTATTAATTTGAATAAACTAACCCATTATCAACCAATGATAAATAATATCGGTGCATCATTTAAGTTCTTTTGCTTTTTCCTGAAGTTATAAGTATATTTCTGTTGGAAAAAGAACACTTCAAGCACGACATTATTTCATTAACATGGTAGAAGCCTTAACATGATAAAATTTGGAACATAATTAGTGAAGCAAAAGTTTTTCTAAACTTTTTAGGTGCACATACCATGGCTTGTCTATTCTTCAGACCATCATCTTCATCTTCATACACTAATTGAGATCAAAGTTGATAAATTTTGAAAGTTGGTGCGGTCTTGTTTGGCATAGGACAATCAATTAGTTTTCATTTTACTTTTGTTATTGCAATTTTAAAACCTGGCTTAAGGCCACCATTCCTTACATTATACAGGAAGCTCAAGCTGGCTTTATGATGAAGAAATCTATAACCAACAATATCATATTAATTAATGAGGTGCTCCACACTTTAAGAACCTCTCCTTCTACCTTTTGTGCAGGTTTGATTTTAATAAAGCTTTCAATTGCATTAGCTCGTAGTTCATTCTTGACATGATGCTATTCCTTTTCATTAATTTGAAGGAATATAATTCATCTTGCCTAGAGCTACTTATTTTCGCATCTTTTATATATGTTCACCATTGTACAAATCATGCTATGTTACCTATATATACATATCTAACACTTCAATTTTATTCCTTAACCATAATTAATTTCATATATTTACATATATATTTACATATCTAATATTTACATATCTAACACTTAAATTAACTTTATTAAAAATATGCTATTCAATTTCGTAATAGCTCCAAAAAAATATGCAAATATTCGTAAAACTTAAAATTTTATGTGTTAGATATGTAAATACATGACATTGTATTGCATATGTGTTCTTATTTCTAAACAAAAGTTGTTAGCACTTTTGGGGCTTACTGAAGTTTCAAAAATAAGATTGTTATAGTCTTCTTTTAAATAGTTTTACCAAAAATGGACAGTATAAATTTTTTTTCCATAAACAACTGCCCAACAATTGGTTTCAAACAGTTGCACCAAATAGATAGCCAGTTTCCCCGCAGCTGCTTCCTGAGGCAGCGCAGCTGTAGCTGAAAAGCTGAGAAGCGGCTGCCCCAAACAAAGCCTAAGATACATGAATAAAATAATTTGATAAACTTTTCAATGAATGTTGTGAAAAGACGATAGATTTTACTAATCTTAATATAGTAAATAATAATAATTTTTTATTTCCACCATCGCATTAGTAAAATAGAAGTAAATGGGGCTTTAAAGAAAATAAAATATGAAAAAGAAGTAAGACTTGATAGTATTCCAATAGAAATCTACAAATGTTTTGAGATTTAAAAATTTCTTAGCTTACTAAACTTTTTAATATTATTTTAAAAACTAAAAAGATGTCTAATGAGTGGACAAAGAGTCTATTTGTTTCTATTTTTAAGAATAAAGGGATCCATAAGAGTGTGTAAATTATACAGGAATTAATTTAATGTGGCATACATTAAAGCTATGGGAGAGAGAATATAGCAAAAAACTTGTTAAGATCAGTTTGCATTCATGTTGGGAAAGTTTAATATGGAAGCTATACTTTTATTAAGAACTTTGATGGAGAAGCACAGAGAATAAGGAGAATCTATATATGATTTTGGTTGATTTAAAAAAAAGCTTATGATAAGGTTCCAAGAGAAGTGTTTTGGAGAGTTATAGAAAAGAAAGACATTGATATTGCTTATATTCATGTCATTAAAGATATGTATACTATAGTTGTTACTTGTGTTCGAACACATACAGGATTGACCAAGTATTTTTATAATTCAACTAGATTCTATTACGGATCGACTTTATGACCATATCTTTTTGTTTTAGTTATGGATGCTCTTACAGAACATTTACAGGAGGATGTAACATGGTGTATGTTTTTTGCTGACAATATCCTTATTGTGGATAAGACTAGAGAGAGAATTAAAAAAAACTTGAATTATGAAGATCATCTTAGGTCTAAAGGCTTTCATTTGAGTTGATTTAAAACAAAATACATGGAATTAACTTTTCTATTAGTAGATCTAATGGCAAAGTTCTAACAATGAGTGATCAAGTCATTAAAAGAAGTGAACGTTTTAGATATCTAGGATCTATTGTTTAAAGTGATAGTGATATAGATGCAGATATTATTAGTATAATTCAAGTTAGATAGTTGAAGTGGAGGAATGCATCGAGCATATTGTGTGATAGAAAAGTATCAATTAGACTTAAAAGAAAAACTTTATAAGATGATGGTAAGATCTTCAATGCTTTATGACGTGGAATGTTGAGCTATAAAAAAGAAGCATAAAATTAAACTAAGTGTTGCTGAGATGATAATGCTCGGGTGGATAAGTGGCTTTACACTTTTGAGACAAGATGTGAAATTAATATATTTGTGAATGGGTTGGAGTAGCTCTAGTGGCTGACAATATTAGAGAGAGTCACCTTAGATGGTTTGGTGACATTACATGTCAACTATCTGATGACCCTGTTAAAAGAGTAAATGTTTTAGATTTGACTTATGTTAAGAATAGTAAAGGTAGACCTAAAAGGACTTTGGGCATGTTGTATAAAAAATCATCTTAATTTACCAGAATTAAATGAAAATATGACACTCAATAGGACACAATGGTAAAAAAAGAATTACATAGCTGGCCCCACTTAGTGGGATAAAGGCTTGCTATTGTTGTTGTTGTTGTTGAACATTATAGCGTATCAGAAAGTTCTTATGAAAGAACGCCCAAGTAGTTTAAAAGCAGGGAAGATTTATAAGTGGAACGTGGACCAGTTTTTTTTTTTATCACAAGGCATTCAAATTGTGCTTCATGCTCAAAACATAACCAAAATTTCATGAACGGCTAAGATGTGTCTTCTATGCAATTAGTGACAGATTAATGAATATAGAGTGAAGTATGAGAACTTCAGCTCTCAAGGGTATGTATTGAGTTCCCCATCATGAAACAATTAATAGGAGTGATTGTTAAAGTTTTACCATAAAATATTAAAGTTCCAAAGTGGTGAAGCCATTGAAAAAAGGTACTTGAGTAGCACCAAGATCAGCATTTCTATAAGGAACTACTTGGTTGCAAGTATTAAAAGATCTGATGGAGTCAAAATACAATATGATGTACAATTGTATATATGAAATAATTTGTACAGATTATTTGTTTGTTAAAGAAATTGAAATAAAACTAATATTTTGTGGATAGAGGGCATTGGCAGCAGCATACAACTGGTGATGATGGAGACGACAATGGCAGCAGTAGTCGGCAGTGGTAGGCAGCCAACACGGTGGCATTGGGTGGCAAGCAACGACAAGAGCCAGCAGCCAGCATGGTGCTTTATGGCCAGTGGCAAGCAGCAGCTTATGCAGGAAATTTAGCACACGCAATGTATTTGGAATGCACACAAGTCAAACTAATCTCAAACAGACTGAAAATGAAATAAATGGGGAATTCTAAATACCATAAAAATTTACTCTGCATTTACTTTTCCTCCCACCAAACACCTGAATTTTGGAACTCCTAAATATCTTTAAAACTACAGCAAATGCAAACCAATACAAAGTACAAGTAACGCTGGTAAAAATTAGGTGGTGCAGGGTTACCAAAAAATACCTGAAAATAGAAGAAAGAGGAAACAACTGCACTCAGGCACAGAAATAAAGACACGCATAAAAGATAAGCTGATGATACTATCATCCATAACCCTTCTAGCATGGTGAAAAATTTCAATTTTGCCATGAACGTAGGTGATTTGGTAGAAGATTGTATAAGAGTAGATGTTTCCTCATCAGCTTCAAACTGTTTAGCTTCCCTATAAGAAAAGATAAAGCAAGAAAAAGTAAGTTACAAAAAAGAGGTTTAAAAAAGAACATAACAAGAAACCACAGAGCTTTTGGGATGTATTTGATACAGGCATGCATAAATGCAAGCACATACGTGCAACCACACAAACAAGTGTGCACAAGCACAAATTCAATTCATTCATAGACACGCATACAAACCAATACGTCAATGCATACAGGGCCACACAGTTGAACTCGGAGAGAAAACATCTAGAACGTAAAACACAGTATACACCTCAAATAAAGAAAAACTAGAGTCCTTATCACTTGAAAGTACAAGCTAAAATAATAATGCGACTAAGTGCAAATTATTACCTGGAATAAAACTATCAATTTTCTTAAACTAAGAATTCAGAAAATGACTTTGCTGATGGTCATTAGCATTGATAGAAAAATACTATTAGGCTTTATGTTACAATTCGAAGTAGAAAACCACTCATATTATTGTAGAAATTAGGGCAAACAAAACTTTTTTCTACATTAATCCAAACAACTCACATGAATACAAAGATAAACACTCACAATTCGAGAGATAGGCTGTCTCTCCCACTTACTAGAATTTGAGAGGTTGGAAATCTTTCCCAAAACCTAAACCTAAGACTCAAAACTCAATCTTAAGACTAAATTGCCCTTAGGCGTACAAAAAACAAATTTTCCCTTAGATTAGGCGCCCTCCTAACAACGCTCCCCCCCCCAACAAAACCCGAAAAAACACCTGTCCTTAATGTGAGCAAAAATGAGTGTTCTCCCCCACAGCTGGGAATATTTCTTTATTCTCTGTTTTCTAGTCCTGCACTATGAGAACTTGTAATCTTCGATCATTGCAACAGTGTCCAAGGATAAACTTTTCATCACACTGAAAAAATAAGCCCTTCGCTAACTTCTCCTAAATCGCTGTCTCTGTAAGGCGCTTGAGTGTTGCTCCAAATCGTGGTCTATTATTCATGTCCCGTGCAACCTCCATCTAAACTTCCATTGTTTGAACTTTTGACATCGTCGTGATTGCAGCAGTTCCATACGACGCTCCATCTGTGTTGCTTTTGTTGGTTTTCTTCATCTGGTTCTTGCCTTCCACCATCTGGGCTAGCTCCATTAGCTCTCTCAATCCCCATGGTCATGTCGGGTTTTAACCTCTTCATGAAATTCTCTTCCAGTCCTGCTTCAGAAATCCTCCATAGCCCTCTAGAATATAGTCAAATCTCTCCCTATATTTCATGATCGTCCCCTCATGAGTCAAGGTATAGAATTGCTCGTGCAGGTCTCCTTGCCGAAAGGCTTGGAAACGTTTCAACAAACAATCCTTAAATTCATCTCACGAACGAATCGGGTATCTAGCCTCTCTCCACTAAAATCAAGCTAAGACTTTCCCCTCTGAATAAAATCCTGCAGCCATGAGTTTCTCCTCCTCATCTAACTCATTCATCGTAAAGTATCTCTCTACCCGATGAACTCACCCGTGTGCGTCATTTCCCTCAAAGATCGGCATCTTCAATTTCCTAACTCTAAGATCTCCACCACAACTTCCTCTTCTCCATTTTTTCCCTCCATGTATTGAGGGTAAAGCGCCTTCCTTCGACCGTAGCTATACTCCCTCCCTGCTACTCTCCCTTCTTTGTGCTCCTCCATACCTCTGACATAATCTCTTCTCCATATTTCGGCCCATCTGCCTCCATCATAAATCTTTAATCCACCCGTAATTGGAACCCTAAGAGGAGGTTCGTGATGGCGGATGTTTTCCTCTTCTTGTTCCTCACATTCAACCTCTTTTCCTTTCAATCTTGTCATGGATTCTCCAGTTAAACATTGGTTAGGGTATGCAAACTGAACTGTTGACAGGTTCTTGAATTGCACCTCAATGAGCCACTTTAGCATCCTCTCGAATTTCCCGTGCTCTCGAATCGATCCTCCAGTCGATTCTCCAAAGAAGAGAACCTCTATTCTTTCTTCCATCGTAAACTTGATTTGACGCATCTCTTCCTCCAATTTTTTTTCTCCATATAATCTATTTTCTTTGATGTCAACTCTTTCAGAAAAATTTTCGATCTCAAAGACAAATTTTATACCCTAAATTCCCGATGTTTCTTCTCAGATAGTCCGTATCGCAACTATACCTCAAATCAATGTTTCTGGATCACGTCAATCTCGTCGTCGCTTCCCAAGAAGCATCTATCCTGACTGTACTCATACAAATTGATGTGATTCTTGAATATGGAAGTTTCCAGTCCTTATGCGTGGTGATCCCTCGCGCCTATCTTCCCAGATAGCTCTAATCACGACTGGATCGCGTAGACGACACGAGAGGAAGAAAAAATGGAAGTTTCAGGTCCCTGTGCATCGCAATCCCTCATGCCTGCCTTTCCATATAGTTGTGATCGCGACTGGATCATGGGTCCTTGTGCGTCGCAATCCCCCGCACCTGCCTTCCTAGATAGCCCTGATCGCGATTGGATCACGAAGACGACGCAGGAGGAAGAGAAGACGCAGGAGGCAGAGGAAAATGGGAGTTTCAGGTCTCGATAAGCTGCGATCCTTCGTGTCACCTCTTTCACAACAAGCTATGACCCTCTGCGACCACTGTCTCTTTCTCAGCAAGCTCGGAGCATGATTTTCTCGCAAGATTCTGTAACGAAGGAGTTTTAGAGTGATCTTTTGCATCAAATCCTTCTCAGTGCGATAAGATCTCGTGGTGGCCTCCCTTTTAGTGACTGTATCGTGGCATTAGGTCAAGAAGGGATCCCGTTGATGCTTCTCAATTATTGCTCCCGCCAACAACCATTTCGCATGCCGGTAGCGATTTCGTGGTGATCACCCCAAAATCGTGATCTGATATCGATTTGTTACGATTCAACGTGGAAATCCACAGATTTATGTAGAAATTAGAGCAAATAAAAATTTTTATTGCAATAATCCAAACAACTCACACGAATGCAAAGGTAAACACCTAGGAGTAGGCAGTCTCTCTCAATTCATATAATTCTAGAGGTAGGAAATCTCTCCTAAAACCTAAACCTAAGAATCACAACTCAATCTCATGCCTAAAAACTAACCATAAACATAATAAGTTTATGTAGACCCAACAATAATAATAATAAAAAATTAAATTGCCCTTAGGCATACCAAAAATAAATTTACCCGTTAAGTTAGGCGCCCTCGTAACCCTTCACTAGTAATATGCGTTAACTGGTGTTTAAAAAGCAGCTTTTTATCTTTGGGTTTGGTAAACTCGAAACATAAGAATTTTAAATCAATATTATAATACATTACAGAAATAATTGATCCCAACCAGACAAGTACTTCGAAATTATTATTATTATTATTATTATTATTATTATTATTATTATTATTATTATTATTATTATTATTATTATTATTATTATTATTATTATTATTATTATTATTATTATTATTATTATTATTATTATTATTATTATTATTATTATTATTATTACAATAAATAATAATAAAAATCACAATAGGAATAATAATAATAAGACTTTAATAACCTTCAAGAAATTAACATTTGCAACCACAAATCAATGTGGAGCCATAACAGACCAAAGTGTTTCATACCTTGTAAATAATAATTCTCCTGAAACATGTTGGCTGTCAAGAATGATCCCTTTAGATGACCGTGCAGCGAGCTCCATCAAAAGAGCAGAAAATAAGAGTAAAACTGAATGAAAAGAAACTTAAGAAATCAACATAATACAAATAGAAAAAAAGAAGAAAATCATTTTTATGCAACATAGATTCCGTATAATTATAAGACGATACGCACATGGTCCTAGCCAAGCCATGCTTGCAGCAAATAATGAACCACAAAACTGTCCCAGTGTAGCACCAGCACCAACAAAGCCAAACAATCTTGAACCTGACTGAATGAGAAAAAAAATCAAGTCCTATGAAAATGAAAATGTACATCTTTAACAAAACATCAACCTACTTGTCTACCTCATTGTCCATGATATCAATCACCCGTGCCCACGTTGATGATATCGTAATAAGATTGAGCAAGGCAACCTTAAGGAAAAACAAAAAGCCTTTTACTGCAAGTTTGGACAATAATGTACGATACCAAATATTGAAATGAATTGTAATAGCAATCATACCCAAAGATATAATCCAATTCGGACAGTTATATAAAACCAACCATGATTACCCCACCCATCATGAAGCGTATTACCCTTTGGATTTTCAAGGCTGCCTATATCCTCAGGTGATGAAGCATGAGAAGCTAAAGACTATATATAAAGTCATATTAAAATGTTCAATGAAGTATTACTGATAACCAGTACAAACTTTCTATTTAATATTGTATTAATGGCAGCTACATCAATAAATTTACCTTGGATGTTGATACCGTTTGTCCAGCAGAAGATGCATACCACAGGAAAAGGAATACAAGAAGAGATAAACTGAAAAATCTGTGTATATAGACCAATGCCTAAAGTCCAACAAAAAAGAATACTATTAGGCATTGATATAATGGAATACAAATTCTGCAATACTCAAGAAAGCAATTAATTTTCGCAATTAAAGATTATCATTTAAAGATGAAATGACACTATTTCAGCATAAAACACTTCAAAAATTATGAAATAACATTTTGGCTAGTATATTCATTACATTTTATGCATTTTTACTCTTTATCTTCTACTTTACTAGATGGACTAACAAAGCTTCTCATGGCATCCATAATACATATAGCAATAAAGAACAAAATTAGCTGTTTCCAACATAAGATAGATCTTATTTATAAAATTAAAATGAATAGAGTATTAGTACATCGTTCTTCTCATTTTTGCATTTAGAATAAAAAGAAAAAAACTACTATTTCCAATTCCTCAAAGTCCATATATCAAATTTACTTGATGAATTTCATTATGTCATGTGCTCCATCAACTGACAAAATGTAACTTTAAAATAATGAACGGAAAAGTTTACTTCTAAGAGAAAAAAGTCTTCAAAATTATATTTACTATTCACCAATCAAACTAAAAGAGTGTTAATACTTAATCAAGCAATGTTAAACATATTTCACTTGTTTCAAACACATTATATAATTTCGTGCCCTAACCCAACATATATACAGCCCAATTCTGCTAGAAATTTCATGAAAATTAGACTGCTTTTTGCAATAAATATATCATGTACCAAGTACTCACTTTTTAATTCAAGTAATTTTTTTTCTAAATCTCAATTAATTAACTTTAGCCTAATCCAAAGTAACTGTGGTTGATTTTATTAATCTTTATTTTTCATTCGGTCATGCTCAACATTGTAGGTCGTGTTAAAGCATATTCTTCATAAATCTATTTGAGCAACTATAGTGATATTACCATATGTCTACCCATTTTCCTTTATGAAAAACCTTAATTTAATATGTCCATCAGAAGGATCGATACATTTTCTACACTTCGTAGTACATGTTAAGCCTACTTTCAACTACCTTACCTTCAATAAATGTTATTCTATCCATCCCTCAAATATAATTATTCTATAATTTATCATACATTGTTTTCTCATAAATTCATCTTAGCATTCTCAATTTTATAACTCTCAATCTTATTACCAACACTCAAATCCATAAAGCATGAGTGAACTAATTAAAATTTTAATAAACTTGTCTTTAAGTCTTTATCATATCATCTTCTCACATAATCCTCATAAGACACTTCTCTAATCTAACCACGGCCTTAATACTAGAAGGTTTTTTTTAATTTTTTTAATTCGACATTTTTATTATAACTTATCCAATTTATTTAAATCTATAAAAGCTAAGCATCACATTATCTACTAATAATATTAAATTGATAATTACAAATATCATACACTGAAATGCAAATCATATAATTAGTATTTTTCATTCTACTAAATATAATCCCCTTATCACCAAAGCATCTTCTCCATTATCCTATTTAAATTATATCAACAAATGTCTCATTAATGAGAGCTATATAATCTTTAAAAAATAAGCCAAGGCCTCCTAATTTGTGAATTAATCGATAATCAAAAATAAAAGAGGATAATAATAAGAGGAAATGAAGGCTAACAATTGCTAACAAAAACAAAACCTGCTGCAGGCTTACAACTATCTATGTTGAGTATATTATTAAAGCTCCTAGCCATGGCAACAACATGAAGCATCTATTTTCCCTACTATACTTTTCAAACTGCTACAACACTTTCATTTTGCTGCTACCTTTCATTGTTTAAAAAATAAATAAAAATGGCAGGAAGTTGTTTTTTACAACTAAATTTGTTAGAGTAATAATTATGAGAAAGTTTCCAATTTTTTTAAAAAAAATTATAACAATCAAAGCAATGGTCAAAAAAAAATTTTTTTGCCACAAAACTGATAAAGCTAAAATTACAAAAAAAAAAAAAAACAATCGCCCCAAATAGACCCTATGACATTGACAATCACTTCAACTTCCAAGTTTGAGACCTTAAATGCAGTTGATTCCACTTAAAAAGTGTTCCAACTCAAAATAGTTGGGCCAAAATTTACTACATTTCATATATCAAGACACAAAAAATTCTTCTTTTATCATACAATAATACATGACTAGCGTTCATTGCCCTGATTATCACACCAACGAGAATCCAGCGATAACATGCCTGGGCTTTGGAAATATGCGGAAGCGAGAATATTAGGGTTGAGACTGGAGCGGAAACGAGAGTCAGAATCAGCGACCCCATGAAGAGTCCTGGGAGGTGGTTTAGGCCCAGAGATATAGCTCCATCGTCCCGCAGAGGAAGAATCACAAAATAGGCGCTCAGAAGCTACAATTAGCCCCAGCACACGTAAAATCACAGTTAAAAAAGGTAAATCAGGGAGAATAAATGAGCTATCCAAAAAAAGAAGAGGAACTAACGAAGAAGAAGCAGGAAGACGAATGGATCAGAGCGGTAATCTCGTGGGGGTGGACCGAAACAATCGTAGAGATGATCGAATCCAACCAAGATCGTGAAGCCATTGTTTTCCTCGACGTCTGAAGCTACAAAAGGGAAGAGAGTGAGGGCTATCAGCGCGTAGAAGTTTCGCTCTACATCGCGGAGAACATCGAAACTATGGAGATGGTCGAATCCAAGCGAGATCGCGATGCCATCATTTTCCTCGGCAGCTACAAAAGAGAAGAGAACAGAGTGAGGGCTACCAGCGCGTAGAAGAAGAGGGGAACACTATTCACCGCGAGCGCTGCTATTCGCAGCACGACGAATTCAGCTCCATGCAAGAAAAATTATTAATGGCGGAGTCCGTGGCAGGCACAATCCGTGCATTTTATACAATACTACACAACAATATCGCGCCATCTCCATCAGGGTCGGGGATTATCTGAGCATTCATATAAATTTATGTATCAAACCTAAATTTTAATTTATATATTTTTAATATATAAATTTTTAATATCATATTCACAAAGATATTATTATTATTATTATTAACTTTCTAAAATAAAATAACATATATAACAAATTATAAATAAAAAAAATCAAATTTTAAATTTAAGATATGGAAATACATAAGAATTATGTGATAAGTATGAAACTTTTCTTTTCTATATTTAACGTAAAATTATTATATATTTATATCTACTACGAGAGGTTTTTTTTATTCATGATGCATTTTAATTTTAAAAAAATTGCTTTATATGGCTCATAATACAATAAATTGTCCGAGTATGTTTTCAAGAAATATACTTGAACTTTAATTTAAAATTGAAATGCCTTCAAATATAGCTCATTATTTAAAAAAAGGTCAATTCTACCCTTAGACGCTCATTATTCTTCATTGGTTATTTTATCATCATTTTGTTTGAGATTTTCTTGTTCAACAAAATAACGTGGTAGTGAAGGGAGAAGTACAATTAGATAAATCAATTTAACATTGGTATTGACAAGCATAAATTGTTCAATATTTGAATTAATGTTAAACCTTGCTGGGATATGTGTTCAAAGCATGATTGAATCTAACATATCTGAAACATTTGTTCATATCATACTCGAGCATGGTTAAACCCATATTCAAGCAAGGCTTGAAGATGGTTTGCTTGAAGATGGTTTGAGATAATTTGAACACAAATTGGATATAAGCTCTCATGATTATTTATTCAAATGTATTGTCCTTCAGATCATGTGTTTATACCCAAACAAATTATTTTGAAAAGGTGAGCAGGTATCTATATCAAGAAGAATGAAAAAAGGACAACAAAGCTAATTACATGTTCACTAAGAAATGAAGTAGGAAATTCATAGTTCACAAAAATATTTCCTCAAATATATAATTGCATGCTCAAATATGGTATGTACAGATCTCGATGTAATAAAGTAGTTGGTCGTCTCACTTCAGTCGACCGGTCATGTTCTCCCCTCGATCACCTCACTTCTGCGGCCATTCGGAATCAGTCAAGGGACTCCCAACAACCCCCCCCCCCCCCCCCCCAAGAGGGTTTTTTAGCAGAACACATCAATACAAAAGTGTAAACTATCTAGCAGCCCCTTTAGAAAAAAGGGTAATATTATACTTTACTTTTTTGCCCTTCTATCATATATAAATATGAGGGTCATTTTTATGTAAAAGTGTATTTTGGCTCCCCCCACTTGTAACATCATGCTTTGTGGAATAAAATGGGTCATCAATCTCGGGGATCACCCAGGAAGGGCCAAGTCTCTCTCTCTCTCTCTCTCTCTCTCTCTCTCTCTCTCTCTCTCTCTCTCTCTCTCTAGTTCTTCTTCCCTCAATCTTACGCTTCATTCATTTGGTACAATGTACCAGATAAATTTGGATTCAACATCTTTAAAATTGAAGTGGGTGTGGATCGTACCACCAACGACAAGACGAGCAACACTGAGAAAGAACAAGGGGAACTAGCACAACGAAGAACTTCCTCCACTCTTTTATCTAGTCACTTTGTCTCCCTCAGTACGCCATCCACCACATTCAACCAATGATCCTGATTCTACTGCAGTTCTTCCTATCCATTGGTTTCCCCTCGTGATTCTTATAAGAGATTTTTAGCTGCAATGGCTTATCCTCTCATCCTTTTGAACTTTCTTCCAATCAATTGGCCGACTCACTAGTCGGCCGCCATCATAGCAACTGACCGGCCACCCCATCTCTCTCTCTCTCTCTCTATCAACAACCAAGAAACAACATCCTTGAAGCCACAAGTTCACTCTGAAACAAATCCCTGTCTGACTGACTTCTTCTACTTCTTCCTACACTCCCTGAACCAACGCATTTTCTCCAAAGCTATCTCCTTTGATTCCTCCTCGCATATGAAAAACAAGGAAAACTCTTATCACCAAACTCCTAACCCGTGAGCTTCTTTTCTCTTTCTCGGTTAGGCCCTATCATTCTCCCACCACTTAAGACTGCTTCCGCCAACGAGCAGCCCCAACACTAGACTCTTTCACCACCAAATTTTTTTTTTGTTGGCCACCCAAAATATCTGTGGCTTCTACCTCTTTTCTTTGTCATCTACATAGACAGCCCTCATCCACCTTGCTCATATCGATCGGAAAACCACTCCCCCGATCGACCTTCCTCCGACCAATTATCGAAGCCCACCAGTCAAAAATCTTCTAGTGATAGGATCTTCTGCCCAATTTGAATCAAAGTAAGAGCAAACTATGAAGGAGTTGTTGGTGAAGAGGATACCACGATGTCAGCACTAAAAAGTTGAGGAGTTGCCCGTTGGAATCGGTCACCGGAATCGAAATCTCGTCGCCCACTTCGGAAAGACATTTAATTTACATATATATAAGTTTAGAAAAATATGAAATCAAACTGATTTCATATCTTTCATAGTTTAAATGAAAGAACACTACACCTCGTGCCACGTATTTATCTCGAAAGATAAACACAAGACTTGAGGGTGAGGCTCGATCAAGTAAACTAAGAAACATATGAGATCTGTTTGGTCTGCAAATAATCTTTTTTTTATTTGTAAGCGGACAAGTTCCCCTATTTAACATGAAAAATTAAATAGAATTTATATTAAGCTGAGTTCGGAAAAGCTTCTTATAAGAGCAAGCCTCTATAGTTAATTACATCTTAGAAGACTGAAATCACCTAAGAAAACTCTCGATAAAAATCAGGGGATATTGTCTTCAGAGAGTTTCAAAGGATAAAACTTTTCAATGATATCGGACAAACATGTGTGAAAGGGGAATGACTCAAATTTGAAACATTTTATGGAATCCAAAGGAAGAGAGATTAGGGGATGTCATAAATCCGAAGGAGAACCTCGGTGACTTCTCAAACTACCCTATGTTTTGGCTTCAGTTTAGAGGAGGAATATTTAAGTGTTTCATCCTGCCAATTTTATTTATTTAGGGCTTATATTCGTGTGAAACGATCACCGTGTGAAATTCGTGTGAAACGATCACATAAATAGCCTGAAAGATGTGAGAATTTAGGTCGTGACGAACGACAATATCGAAATCCTAAAGCGAGTTAGGGCTTATATTATGTAGCTGAGCTAACAAAAGGCTAAAGATAAGTTGAGGATTTATGTCGCACTAAGCGGACAACCTCGAAGTTCTATGGCTTGGTTGGCTTGGTTGTTTAATGTTTAATTCTAAAGAAAGAATGGTTTAGCTGGTGTAGACATGTTTTGTTGTTGAAGATGGTCGTGTTGCCCACAATGCTAGCTTCAAACTCCTCGTCGTGGCGAGTTTAAGCCTTCTAGCATGTCAAGTTATGATGTCAAATCAAATATCCCTAAGTGCCATGGTTATTTAAATATTATGGGGGCACATTACCGATGATTAGAGTGATACCGGTTAGAATCCTACGGTTCTCTCATTCTGGTACGACTATTTTCTTTCAGATTCACTTAATCTAAATGAATTTACTAAACTCAATCTAATGAGTTCCATACTTTCATTTAGACCGTGGGAAGTCTCGTTAGCAACCATAAGTTACCTCCTTTCGAGGGATTCCCGAGGGATTCCCGGTCATCCGATAGAGACATTTCAATTTAGTTGTGATTTTTTATTTTGTGATGTTTGTGATTAAATTTTGAGTTGTATTTATATTTTAAATGGTTTGGTGGTGACATTCATTTTGTTTGATTTTTAAATTTTTGTTTTGGTTTTGTAGCTATCCTAGCAGTTTTGGTTTTCATGAAGAGTGACATCGTTGTTTAACATGCAAGTTTTAAGCAAGAAGTGCAAAAAGATAAATGCAACAATTTAGAAGCGTTCCTGTCAATTCTTCTCTTTCCTCCACCTGAAAGGTTAGTATTTGTAGTGTATATAATTTTGCAAAAAATTTAAATTGCAGGAGTAGATGAAGATATAGTTACAATACTCCAAAGTATGACTTTATTTAGCCTCCGAAGATCTTAGCGGATGATTTTAGAACAAAATATGGTAAGTTCAACTTGTCATTCAAAATATCCAAAAGATTTCAAAGTGCTCGGGGTATGACCCTTGACTACTTTGAAGATCTCTTGAACTATTTTGAGTTCATTTCTTATAGTGAGTTGAAATGATTTTTATGAACAATGTGAAATTGATTTAGTTAAATTTTGATTTATATTTAATTTAAATAAATTAATACAAACTAAAAATGTTTAATTAACAACAGAAACATACAAAATTATTCAAATCATCACAATATTTTTCCTAAGCTCCTCTGATCATAGGAAACCTAACAAAATTGATTCCATAATTTTTTGAGGAATATTTTAATTTATATGATTAAATATAACTAAAATAGTCACGCAGGCTTCAAAATTAGGGTTAGAAGCACAGAGGTGCTCTCTGACTTTAGAAAAATTAGAGGAGGTGCCCTCTATCATAAGGAATCAACCCTAAAAACTTTGGAAAAATTAGAGAAGTTGCTCTATGTAATGAGGAATCAACCCTTAAATTTTCAAACCATGATGATTAGTATTTAATCATAAACAATTAAAATACCTCAGCGAATATTTAATTAATTAAAAATCATACACTTGGCAATTAATTTTTATTTTCAATCTACATTAATTAATTAAAAATCATACACTTGGCAAAAAAGATATAGATTTTTTAAGATTAGATATTAAAAATAATTCAGAAAATCCATATTTTCTTACTTAAACACGTAGCGCCACCTCAACCTGCGACGGCTCCGAACTTGAATGCGGCGCTCCGCCATTCGACTCCACCATCCACCTCAGCT